CGATGGTAATCGAATATTAAATAGCACTTAACAATTTCATCGATTCCGATGCGATCGCCGCTTACTTGGACGACAATAACGGATAAAATTTGCGCGAGATATGAAACGTAGAAAGTAGCCTGGGAAGATAATAAATTATTATAATATCGCGCATTCAATTGACCTCTTTAGAGGCGAGTTAATTGCGGCGTTACCATACGAAACGTTTGCACGAATGTTAAGCGACCGCCTCGCACGTCGGAAGGTCACGCGGCGAATTCATTTGAAAGTTCTCGGTTAATTGTAATACGCGCGCGTCCGAGCCTGACGTGCCTATCGCGTAGGAAATTCATTTCAATTTAGTGGCACCTTGGCGCGAACGATCATCGATCTACGTTCCATTAGAGAATTGCATCTGTCGGCTTCCGAAAAAAAGTTCTCGCGGGTTTTTCTTGTCGGCGATGGATCGAGGTCCGATTTGAATTAGAATTTGAGTAGTTTAATCAATGATATTGGTATCTGTAGTAAGTTATGTTTATGCCGTTGCTATCGAATAAAATAAACTGATTTCAGATGTTTTCCGTTTCTTTTCCTTTCGGACGATCCACGTGTTGCGTACACGTACATATCTCGCGGTGTTTTACGCAAGACAGCTGAAAAACGAACTTGGAGTTACAATTTCGCTTGCATTCTTATCGATTTAAGGAAATCAAATTACATAAGTGGAACGATTTGCTTCGATGAAATAATATTTGGCGAACGAATAATATTTAATTGTACCATCCGCGTTCAATTTGCACGCGTTGTATGCAAAGCGTTGCTTATAGCGGAACACTCTGTAACTGTTCAAAGGTATAACTATTTAATGAATCTCCCCGATAATAATCGAACCCGTTACCTTAAATAATTAACTCGAGCACCGAGTGTTATGAATTAGAAATAGTTTTAGCTGCTGAGCGTGTTGTTTACACGCTACAAGTATTTAAAGATGTTGCATTTCGTAATGCCTCGATATGACTTGTCGATACCGCGTTCTAATGATTCATATCTAATATAGTATGCAAAATGGGGAGTTGAAACTATAACTATATAACAAGCAAGCGCGATGTAATTATTTATTTATTTTACCGTGTAGTGGTATTGCTAATATATTTTGTTGGTATCTAACGAACATACGTTGTATCGATGAATTAATTTAGTATCATTAATGTACTTAGAAAAGTAGAAATATAATATCAAAACGGGTGTTTATAAAAAGTGCAAGAAAAATGTATACCAATAGAAAACAGAAGTGTATCTTATCCTCTGATGACACCGGTATGAATGACGAGCAAGAATTGCATCTATTGCTTAAATAGACTCTATCCCCACTTAAACGTGAACTTTACTTTCGTATGAGGTTGCTAATACCGAAATGTTAGAAAGGGAGTTAATGCTATGAATATTTATGTATCTCTACTTATTTACTTATTTATAAAAGAACAGAAATATTTGTAAGAAATTCGAATAGCTTATTTTCGAAATGATCAAAAGATCATCTTGGTAATTATCGTTAGACGAAAGTAAACTGAAATTTTGACGAAATAATTATTTCCGAACATAAAGCATAACCCTCGTGTTACAAATGAAAGCTTTATTTAATTATTTCTCAAATATTGTTAAACAATATTTATTGTTCAATGTTCACAACAGTCGTATTACATAACATACTTTTAAGTAGTTAATCATTTATGCATGTTCATTCGAAATAATTAAAGATATTTAATTAATGAATTGACGTTGTGAGTCTAGATTGCTCTAGATCTTTCGGTGAATGTACGCTGGTTCACGAATGTGTATTTAATCTTCGATTAACCGATTGTTATTGTTTAATCGGGTTTATTCTTTAAACATTACCTTCCTCGGTATGCTTTCCGATCATGGAATATTCAACTAGTTTCTTTTTATAATAATAATTGTAAGAAATAGAAAATATGATGAAACAATGTCCATCCGATGAGTTAAAGGCGCTAGTGTATTATCGTGAATCATCCTGCTTACATGGAAACTCATGTGATCATCTGTCAAATTTCGCATTTCATTCAAAAATGGCGCCGATTATGAATATGTAGAAACTCGCCAATTGCTCGAGTAAAATAAAGTTTACATGCATAAATAGTAATTGATTTCTGTCAGTTGACAGTCGAGACACTAGAGAAAAATGTTTTAATTAATAAAGGAAACGTAACAAAATTAAACTGAAGCCTATATTGATCCGAACCGCCATTTTGTATCGAATTACGCAGCAGTGTTTCAACAGATACATATATATACGGTAGTTCTATATAAAAGGATCATAACAGAGTTGACAAGCCATACGGAAGAGGAATTTAAAGTGAAAAGGAGTTTGTAAGTTATTATTTATAAAATATTCAACAAAACTATAGAAGTTCATTTAACAGACAAGTAATTTGTATTAATTTTTCTACTACCGCAGGTTTCGGTTTTTAAAATGAGTCTCCGACCAAGTGTGCTTTGTAAAGTTCATTTACGAAATTCTAATGGATTTGTGCAAGAAATTCGAAGATTTGAATTTAGTACCTACTTTACTTTCGAAGATTTTCATGTAACGTTGAAAAATATGTTTCCTCAATTGGCAGACAAGAACTTCAAAATAGCATGGATAGGTAATGTTATTACATATAAGAACTATGTTGGTTTACACACATACTACAATAGTGAACGCACCGAAGAAGTCTTTTAATGTTCTTTAATAATGTATAGTTACTAATTTAATTGTATCATTTTAAAAACATTATTTTATAGATGAAGACAAAGATGAAATTAATATGCCAAATGATAGGGAATATACGTGTGCTTTGAGCTGGTATTCACTTAAAGATGAGGGGACTGTGTGGAAAGTGTATGTGACATATTATGAAGATAAAGTGCCGCCTGTTCAAAAAAAAGAAGTATATCATGAAGATATAATATGCGATGGTTGCAATGGCGAGGTAATAGGTCATCGATACAAATGTATAGAGTGCGTGGATTATGATCTATGTTCACAATGCGAAGGATTAGGTTTACATGGAGATCATTGGATGTTACGTATACCAAAGCCATTGTGCGATACATCTCGTCGTGGCCAACATTTGCCACATAGCATAAGGAAATTTCTCAGAAGAAATGGTGTACGTTTTAATAAAAAAGATTTGCCAAATGAATCTCCAATGACAGAGGTAGATAATCATAATATATTTTCCTGGCTAGAAACTTTGTCACTATGTTTTAATAATTTTAATAACACGAAGGTGGGAACAAACACTGAAAATGCAAAATCTACAGAGGTACCAAAAGGAGATAATACAAATAATAAGAAATCTTGTTTACATACAAGGGATGAATTTACAAAATTTCTAAATTCCGTTGGCATAGCTGTTGATGTTGCAATGGATGTTCTAATGCCACGTATACCTGAAACTAATAAAGCCCAAAAAGAAGAAGAAAAAGAAGAAAAATGTGACAAAAATACAGCAACAGAACAGAGTATTCCTATGGAATTTCTAGAAAAAGATACAAAAGTGATTAACTCCACTAACAATGAGACATCTGTGTCCACTGATACATCAATAGCACCTCAAAATACAGCTTCAGCAAATAATGTATTAACAGAGGAATGGACAATAGTAGATAAAAGTGAGGCCACTGACAATAATTCTGCATCTTCAGTTTCATCCAGTTTAAATAAATTGCCTGAAAATCAAGTCAGTTACAATGAATTAGTTATATATAATAAAAATGTAAAGTATGCATTGTACAATAATGATTACATTTTATATATTTTAGGTTCCCTCATCTGAATCGATTCCATCAGTGTCCAAGGAAAATTCGACACAAGCAATTTATCCTCCATTACCAAAAGAAGAAAAAGTATACCATCCAAATCCTATGATTCGCAGTGCTATTGAATCTATGATAGCAATGGGATTTTCAAATAATGGAGATTTGCTGACTCATTGGTTAGAAACTACAAATGGAAATATTAATCAAGTTTTAGACATACTGCAGTCTGCAAATAGTGAAACTTAAAAATCAAGTTTCAAATTTATATTGTATGTAGTAATTTGTACATGCTTGATTTTTGATGCAGGTATAAATATTGTAGTTTTTTAGAAGTATATTTTATCTGTACTACTTTTATATCCATGTATTGTGTTATATCTATCCATAGAGTTAATTAATGTATTTTATTATTACAAATAATAAACATTCCTTCTGATATGTTGTAGCATTCAAATCAATAAAGTATGTAATAATAATAATATACTTTCTATTGTTTTAATAACCAGTAAAACAAAATCGTATAAAGACAGTAATAAAATAGCTGCATAATAGTATATGATAACGTTATTATTAACATTATAGTATTAGTATTATTAGTACATTTTACAATCGATTTTATTTATTTTATAATGGTTTACAACGAATCCAGAGTGTTAATGGATTTCTATTTGACAATAACTCCAATTCTCTTTGCCCTTGAGAGGTGATCTCTCTAACCCATTTTCTATCTTTATAATATTCCATGATGGCCTTAAATTCGTTAGAAGTATAATCTTCAACATTAATTGGAAGAAAAGGGTCTAAAAGTTCAAATCCTTCTTTACCAAGTAAGTACCTTGGGTAATCAGAATCTCTTTTAGTCTGTAAACAAAAATAATTAAATATTGAACACATTTTATAACTTTAGTATACTGTACTGTATTTTTTTTATACCTTATTTGCTTTTTTATCTACAGATAATATTGCAGCACCATTACACCAATCATAATTAGCACACTTCAAAAATGAACTGGTTAAAGATATTCTTTGTGCTGGTACATATACTTTCCTTTCATCACGAATTGATGTTACATCAGAAAAGAATGTGTTAAAACCATCTATAACAATTAATACCCTACATTTCTTTGCTGTACTGGCTATTTTAAGTTCATCCACAACAGCATCAATAACGCCACAAGCAAATTTAATTCGTTTTATCCCAAATTCAATAAGACTAGAAAGTGATTCTCCATGTGGCGTACTTTCTCTTTCATTCCATACGTAATCCTTGGAAATTTTTATCTACAGAACAATAATTTTAATCAAAAGTAGCAATAAAAATTATATTACACATTACTTACATTCGACAATAATGGTTCATTTAAATTTTTAAAATATTTTAACCATGCTTGTGCATGTAAAGGTAAATCTAATTTATCAGGCATAAGCGGGGAATCTGTAACTTCTTTTGGAAACCTAAACCAAGTATTAGCTAAAAATATATAAAAAATCAGTATTATAATCTGATATAAATATATATTACTATAATTATCATACCTTGTGGTACATGTAATACGATAAACTTTTGGGCAAGACCATAATGAATTGTATGCAACAATGTTGATGTTTTTCCTGCACCAATTTTACCATCTAACAAATACAATTGTAATAAAAATATAGTTACATATAATCACATTTTGCATTTTATTAACCCTTTGTGGATAACAATGCTATAAAACAATGCTATTTATTTGGAAATGTTTATCCATAAAAAGTTATTAATATATTAGATATTTCAAATCATAATTAAAGAAGGTAAATAGCTAAAAAGGATACATAGAACATATTTCTTTATAGATTTCGAATAGTCTGTTTGTTCCAAGTATGATATTATTTCAACCGCTGGTTTTCTAATCAGAATACCAAATTCCACAAAAGTTTGTATTTGTTGCTTCCATTCATTTGGTACATTATCTTGCATTAATGTTTGTATATTTGTTGGTACTGTATACACTTTTCTTAAATGAGTTTCATTATGGTTTGGAGGATGTGATTCAAAGGTACGAAAAGTTTCAGGTTCTATATCTCGAAGTTTTGTAGCAACAGCTGTAGCCAGTGCTCTTTGTCCACTTGCGATATGTAGTTCTCTGATTAATGAATCTGATAAATGTTTTATAAGAATAATCAAAAATAATCAAAACAACTAACTAAAATTATAAGAGTAAATAAACATATGTAATAATTAAATATGTAATATTAAAAGTAAGTTGATTTGATATATAGAATAATAATATTAAAATGTGTGAATGATAAACGTACAGATACAAGTAGAAACCATGTTGTTTATGTCAAAAGTAGTATCATCCAAACTTTTAGTTAAATATTGTAAGACCCTCAAAAGATCATTTAGCAAGATACACTGAACTTCGTATTTACATTTATGTACAGTATATAGTCTATGCACTTACAATGTCACCAACCTAATCAATTGCTTCAAATATCCCCATCTAAAAATATTTATAATACATACATAAGTTTTAAGTTTTAATAGATTTTAACATTGTAATACACCTACTTATGTTTAATTTATACTATACTGTATTTGATAATGTGACTCACAGTATATACACCCGAAATCATACAAAGCATTTACAGAAGTATAGACTTCATGGTATAGAGAATCCACTGGTAAAGTAGGTACCTACCTATGTATGTATTAGGAGTAAACTGCAGGTTAAGGAATGTATTGTACTGTCATAAATAAATAAATCTTGCAAGTTCTATATCTGAGGTGTATGTATAAACAAAGGAAGGAAACATGAATTTAGAATTGTTAGGTGAGATTTCATAAATATTTATTTTATAATACGGTGACATTAATAATCTTATTACTTTTTTCTTTTTTAGAATCATTTGGTCAGAATTATCCAGAGGTATGATGAATCCATTAAAATGTATTGTTCACTTTTAATCTCCTAATCTTACAGTTTTTATAATTATTAGGAGTTTGATGGCACGTTAGATTGCATATCGTTGGCTGTAACTTGTACATTTAACAAAAGAGGAACTCTTTTAGCTGTTGGATGTAATGATGGTAGAATTGTTATTTGGGATTTTTTAACACGAGGTGTTGCTAAAATCATTAGTGCACACGTTCATCCAGTATGTTCATTAAGGTAAATAGTTACTAATGAAAATATAAAATAATTATATTGTTGAAAATGCTTTAATCTTATAATATTATTATTGTCTTCTTAAAATAGCTGGTCCAGGAATGGTCACAAATTATTAAGTGCTTCTACAGACAATAATGTTTGCATATGGGATGTTTTATCGGGAGAATGTGATCAAAAATACAGATTCCCTTCGCCTATATTAAAAGTACAGTTTCATCCAAGAAATCTTAACAAGTTTTTAGTATGTCCAATGAGACATGCAGCCGTAATGGTTGAAGTTGAGGGTACACACAGAGTTATACCTCTTGACGATGATGTATGTATATGTAGCATTCTAACATATTTGTATAATATTTTTCAATCTTTCAAATATCTCTTTATTATAGAGTGATTTAAACATAGTAGCATCTTTTGATCGGCGTGGAGATTTTGTGTATACTGGAAATGCTCGTGGACGGATTTTGGTTCTTGATGCAGAATCTTTAACTGTAAAAGCTTCTTATAAAATATCACAAGGCACTGCTAGTAATACAGCTGTAAAAAGTATCGAATTTGCAAGGCGAGGTTCTTGCTTTTTAGTAAATACGGCAGATAGAGTAATTCGTGTATATGATAGCACAGAAGTACTAGCATGTGGAAAAGACGGTGAACCTGAACCAATACAAAAATTACAAGATCTTGTAAACAAAACTATGTGGAAAAAATGTTGCTTTTCTGGAGATGGAGAGTATGTGTGTGCCGGTTCTGCGAGGCAACATGCTTTATATGTCTGGGAAAAAAGTATTGGAAATTTAGTAAAAATTTTACATGGAACTAAGGGAGAATTGTTACTTGATGTAGTGGTAAATAATTCATTACCATTTCATCTGCCATTTATATCTTATAAATTAATTGGAAATTCACTTTGATACAGTGGCATCCTGTGAGACCAATAATTGCTTCTATATCATCTGGTGTAGTTTCTATTTGGGCACAAAATCAAGTTGAGAATTGGTCTGCCTTTGCACCAGATTTTAAGGAATTGGATGAAAATGTTGAGTATGAAGAGAGAGAGAGTGAGTTTGATTTGAGCGATGAAGATAAATCTGTGGTTCAAGGTGAAGAAGCACAGGATGAAGAGATTGAAGTGGATGTTGCATCTATTGATAGAGTTGCTGCTTTTTGTAGTTCTGATGAAGAAATGGAAGATATTGGTTCGCTACAGTTTTTACCAATATCACCAGATGTAGAAGATTCGGAAGACAATCAAACAACACCACACGAACCACCTATGAAAAAACATCGTTCTCACGATATCCATTTGCAAGGAGCACCAGTAGATGGTAATACTTGCAATAAAAATATGATGTAACAATTGGTTCATTTGAACTTAGTATTACTAAATTTTTGTTTTTAGAAACTCATCCATTATTAAATAAAGGGAAAGATAAGCCAACAACCAAAAAGGGAAGACCTCGGTTGGAACACAGAAAGGGAAAATAATTTAAGATATATTGTATTATATTTTTCTAGAATTAGCAAATATTTTATAATGTACAGATTATTTAAAAGTACTTTAAATATTTTATCAATTTTGATAATATTTCATGTTTATAACATACATTATGAAATGTGTTGGTGCTTCCTATGGAATGTGTCACATAGTACTATAGTATCTTTCCTAAAACTTTTAATGCTGAAAATTGTGTATGTTAATATTATAGTAAACTTTTCAATACCATATTCATCAATAAGAAGACTCATTTAATTTAAATTTGAATATCTTTTGTTCAAATAGTTATATTTCACGCAAATTTTGTTCAATTGATAAGTAGATCAGTGAATAAAAATATATTGAAATACATTTTTATTTAGCTTGTACTGGAATTATGTATTATTATTTTTCTTATACTTCCAGTGGTAACACTGTTGTCCCTTGGACTGCAATTTGTAATGGAGTTAACCTATATTTTAGTACAAAATCATTTGAAAAGGATATTAATTAATGGATAAATCGCTTATCTTTCTTATCTCATATAAAGATTGCTGGAAGTATTAATAAAATTGCGCACTAATTAGCCTAACTTGTTGTTGAGAACGAATTCAATTATTTACAATGTTATTTTCAAGATTGGTGGAATTAGTGAATAAAAAATGGTTTACTGTTCAAAAGAAAACCACAAGAAGTGTTCAATCTGCCAGGCATGTAATATTAAGTGGCGGAATAATTATGATTAGTGGAATCTTTATTATTTGGTTATCAGTATTTCTCTATACAGCATTCTATTATGCTTACATGCCAAGTATGTCTCATGTACGGCCGGTGCATCTACAATTCAAGTGAGTTTTTAAATTATACATTAATTAAATAAAAATATTCAGCATATAATAAATTATATCGTTTTCCGTTATTTGCATTGTACTGAAACAAATATGCCATCTACAAACCCTGATTAAATCATTCTTTTGTGTTATAGATCTTGCAACGAAGAAAAAGGAATATGTAGTTATCCATCAGCACGGGTACAGTTAACAAACAAGCAACAATTGCTTATGGTTGGACAACCATATAAAGTGAATTTACATTTAGAAATGCCAGAATCTCCAGTGAACAAAGAACTTGGTAATGTCTTTAATTTTTTAAAAGAAATAAAATTTTATTTATTAATCTATTGTCTTCGAATAGGTATGTTTATGGTTTGTGCATCGTTACACAGCAGAAGTGGTGATCTTGTAACATTTACATGCAGATCAGCTATGATGCATTATCGTAGTACATTACTGCATACTCTCACAACCCTTACATATTTACCTATGATGATCTTTGGGTCCACAGAGGAGAAGCAAAATGTAGTTTTAGAATTATTTGGAAATTTTGAAGATGATCAGAATAATCCAGTTACACTCATACATATTGAAATACAATCAAGGCATATTGAACTTTATTCTGCAACTGTTATGATAAATGCACATCTGTCTGGTTTACGTTATCTTATGTTTCATTGGCCAATTTTGTCAGCCATTATTGGAATCGGTACAAACTTGTTTTTCATAGCTCTTGTATGTACTCTTTCTTACTTTCATTTCACCACCTATGAAGATAGTGGTGATAATAATTTTAGTTATGAAGAAGAAATAAAGACTGAAAAGAAAGAAGAGCGCAAAAAGAATTCTAAGATAGAGGAAGGAAAAGAACATAGAAATGTGCTGTGTATGAATGATCGTAAGTTATTATTATTTTTTTTGTCTTCAATTAACGAATACTTGTATTGTAATCATAGAATCAAAAATGATTGTCTTTTCATAGAAACACCTGATTCATCTTCATCAGAAAATGCTGTTACACCAGATTCGTCATCCTCGGAAGACACTTTTACACCAGATTTTGTCGATGATGTAGGAGAACTTCTTACTTCAACAACTTCTGACTCACTTAAAGTGTACACATAATTTACGGTCTACCTCAAAAACTATATGGGAACATAAATTAAATTAGGAAATAATAACAACGTTTGTTATGTAAATAGTGTTTAAGAAGGTACATATCTTCTAGAATAAAAGAAGAAGTGCTTGACATACTGATATTTTTCACTGTACGATTGTACATACATTTGTGAGAATAGATTGTGATATGTAGATATATTACAAGAATATTTATTTTTTATATCAAGATACTTTGTTATTTCTTTTAATTGTACTGTAAACGATGCAGATGTATTTGTAATGCAATAATGGACACCCGACGTGGTATGGTTTACATGTAATTCATTAAATATATTATAAATACGTCATTCTCAAATTTCGTTTATAGCGTTTTACTTTGCGACCCGATTCGTTCGTTGATATGTTTCGTTTAGAAAAAAATACAATGTCTTTTCAATTTCTCAGTTGGAAATATTTTCGTCACTCCCTAATTAATACTAACGCATTCCTTGCTCGTTTTCTTAACTATCCGAGGTCTAGGTAAAGAGAAGATATCGTCGAAATCTGTAATATCAATGGTAAAAGCTATTTTCTTTGAAAGTTTCCCCATTCGAAACGACAGACCGATGCACCCCGATCCAATATTTTCACTGGAACCCGTCGAAATTTCAATCCTACACCAGCGCAAAATCGATCCGGTCGTCGATGTTTCTCCGTTCCCGAGCATTTACCGTGACTTTCTTTCATTGTGAACGAGTTACAAGAGCTTCTGGGAGATTCGTAGCAGAACGTCGCCGCGACGGCGCGTTCAAAGTGTCCCCGGCTGTGCGCCGGCTGAGTGTTCGTCTGTTAAAAAACGGAAAGAAAGAAAAAAGGAGAATAGCACGAGGAAAAAAATGACGGACGCGTACACCAAAGAAAATCTGGGCATGTAAGTGTCGGCCGAGCAAAGGGAGGAGAAAGGGTCGGGTGCATCTTATGCATTCGTAGGTGCAACCAGCGTACACGCGGTGCATAAATACTACGAAACCGGTTTTCTGCGTTATCCGGGCTCCTCGCACCGCCGTGGGTTAAAAAGGGGAGCTCAAAGGAGCAGCACGAATTCGTAGGGTCGCCTTGTGTTTCTCTTGGCTCGTTACTCGAGATTCAGACAGGTGTGCGAGCTTCTCTCCTCTCCTCTCCACTCCTCTCTCGGCTCCTCTGTCTCCCCATTACTCGTCCACCATCACCACCACCAGCGTCACAACACTTCTACCCCAGGCTCCTCGTGAGAGGTTCTCGATTTACTTTAAACCGGTGTTCTCGACGCATATGCGAGAAGCAGAGGCGAAATTGCGCCGATTCGCGATCCGATCGGGCTCGGCCGCGCAGAAACGAAATTGAAAACCGGATCGATTGATTTCGCTCGTTCCTAACGGAATTGTCAGTCAGATACCGTCGCCCGTTCCGCCCGGAAATGATTGACATTGCGATTGTTTCTCCGCGATTTGACGAACGGCTTTGTTCCGTTCGTCGGCCATTGTAATTTACCGAGTTAATCGTAACCGTTTAAAACGTTGCGAGAACTTTGTAAACGTTATTCGGTCAATTTCCATCGATGCGATCGGACGAATGTGTATTCGAATTATCTGCTCTTGAACTTCTAATTTCCAAGATCTAAACGAACGAACGGTAAACGGTACTTTCAGTTGCTCCAGTTTCTATCGGACATAAAGTTTTCATAAAAGTTACTTGCTCGCTTTGAACTCATCGAACATGCTCGTTCATCCCTTTTTTTCAATTCACCGTGTACAGGTTTCGATTCGTTTGCTAAGAGGTCTGTTGTACCGCGGTCTAATTCATTCCATTGAAATCTATTTCACCGGGGCCGGAGAAACAAAACTGACTAATTCCCATGGCATCGCGAACGAGGCGGATGAACTGGCGAGCAATTTGAATATGTATTGCCGCGACGCGACGTGTTGAAAAACTGATGATTTACATCGGCCATATTCGATGGTACGTAGGTACCATGGCTCGATCTTTCATTGTTGCCGAATTGGTAACGCATAAACTAAATTTTACCACGCTTTGATGAATAACGTGGGAACGTTCATCGAGCGTTCGACGCGATGCAGTTGATGTACGTTCCGGTAAAATGGAAAAATTTAATGAATACACGCGGTTATCACCGAATTGAGATTTTAACAGAAATATTTACTAAATTTGAGAACGTCTACTATCCTTAGCGAATGTTTTCGTTCACTAAACAATTTACATACTCGTTGCAACGCGCCGAACAAAAATGTAAATTTCATTGCTTACGAATACATTTATTATCTTCGTTCACCGAACTGACGTTTCGACGAACTTTCAGTTCATCCCTGTTACATGCTCGTTTCATTTCCTACAGTTTCCCGTATCGTAAATGTTCGTCTAATGAGAATATTTATTCACAGTCTAATCTTGAGCCCGTTGGTTCCGTTTAATGGAAAACGGGATACGGTTGACCGCGTTGCCACATATTTTCCCCGAATGTTACACATTTTTCCGTTTCACCGCTTAATCGCGCGCCACTGATTTTATAAACATCCCAGCGTATATACGTACGCGCGCGCCCATACTTAATTCAATTTTTCAATGCCGAAAAACTGATCTAAATGCAAATTTGAATATTTGCGCGCGTACACTGTATTTTTCCAGCGTAAATGAACTACCGGTTGAAACAGCGGCCGGCGTTTCCGCGCTAAATTTATCGTCGACGCGAGACAGAAGATACAAGGGCGCATTCAGAGGTTTGTCGGCAGTCACGGCGTTCTTTTTACAGAATTTGCAACGTTGCGCTGATTATCCGGCCGGCTATTTATATTTTTACCGCTGACTGACGGTTCGCGAAAATTACTGAGCACGTCGCCGACCTCTAAACGCTTGTGATTTATTTCACCGGCAACGAGTCTACGGACTTATCGATCCTTCAAACTTTTTCAGAGCTTCAAGCGATTACTTAGATAATTACTTTGTCATTAACAGTTCGCGTATCCTATACTCGAGTCGCTCGGAAGCCAACGCGGTTGAGCCGAGAACAGAAGAATCGAGAGAATTCATGTTTCAGCTTCCGAGGTGATTATACAACATATTCGGAAGCTATAAAAGGAAAAGCTTTCTTATTCGAGCTTAATTATTCGAACGAGCGAATTCCCTGGAAACTCCGCTAATCTCTTCAACCGAATCTTCCGCCGATTTCCCCGTAGAAAATAGAAACGACGATTCATCTGAATTCCCCGGCGAGCTAATCAGAATGATTTTTCACGCGGGTAAAATATCTGCGAACGACGCCGGTTTTAGCTTAATGAATTAAATATAGGTTACGCGCGGCGCTTATTGACTTTTCAAAAACCAAAGCCCCGCGCGAAGCTGAGCCCGGCCCGCGCTGATTACTCGGCCCGATGTTCAATTTTATCGCGCGCCCGCGCTGACGTTTCCAATTAATGAATGCCCGATCCCGGGATCGAAATTACAAATTTTATAATTTGTCGAACGGGAGGCGGCGCGAACGACTCCATAAGCCGATCGATTCTCAATAACTTGCCGGTGCACGCGCCGCGGCCAATGTAATCAAGTAGACTTTACCTTTAATCCCTTTGTACACAATTTCAAGCGTCAGAGGGAATTTCGTAACAGCAACACGTTTATCTTTCGTCCATGGATCGGCTTCGTTCGCGGCCGAATCTTCGAAAGTCGCGACGCTGCGCGCTCTTGTCGTTGACATCGTCGTCGCGCGTAAAAAATCTCGCGTCGCCCTGTTCGGTTCGCGCAGCCTCGTTCATTGCCCGCGGCGAAACGATAAAATATCCACCGGCTTCGTTCCGTCCTCGACGAACGGTGTCGATGAAAATGATATTTAAGTAGCACCGGCGCTGATTAGGGCTAGTAAATCTCGGCTCCGGTTGATGCACGTGTAATGGTCGCGGAGCGCAACATCGGCGCTGGACGGGGAGGTGCACCTCTCCTCTGTCGGCCGGCGATAATTCGATTTTCTTGCCGGCGCGGCGGGTGATTGTAACTGAAACGAGGGACATCCGAGCGACAAGACGTAAAACAGTTCAACGACATTCTCGCGGCGACCGCGCCGGCAAAAATCCCGCGAAGAACCGGCGGACCGGCGATTCCTCGCTCCGCAGAAGTGTATTATTTCCTCCGTCGGCATTCGTTACCCGGTTTTCACTTTTTACCCCGGCGAGAGCCCTCCCCCGCCGTCGTTTCGCCTTTATTTACCCCTCCCGGTTTAATGAGGTTATTAAATCATAGCGCTGAAATACGTCCGGCTGGATGCAATAATTAGCGGCCATTAATTTGATCGTTCCCGCTCGTGTTTTAATTGAGGCAACCGCGGCGAAAGTTTCAACGGCGGAACGACGGGTGTCCGATTTCAGGAACGATAAGCTCGCCGCGCGTGAAAACATCGGCGATAATTCCTCATTATCATTTTTATCCTTTTTACGAGGGAATTACGGTCGATCCCGGGCTCGGACGATCGCGCAATTAAATCGATACGCGCGCGGTCCGATGCCGTTCCCGATGCTCCGCCGATTCCGAGAAGAATTTCCATTCGGGGAATCGTTCCCGACGGGCGCCGACGGTAGCGTTGATAGAAAAAGCGGACGGCTGTTGGCCGGGAATCGCGTTCCCTCGGTGTAACGCTGTTACCGAGGTAATTCGATGAATTTCGCAATGTCTTTAACGGCGCGGCCTTTCTGAAATGATTACGCAAGTTTCGAATACAAAGGTATCCCCCGGCCGGGTCGGCCCGTTCGAGAGCCGGTTACTAACTGGGTTTGCTCTGGTCTGGTAATGTTAAGAAATTCAATCCGCTGGCAGTTGGCCACCGGGCGCGAAAATCTCGTTCGCTTAACCGTCACGAAATGAAATCTAAACGAATCTAATAAAGCGGCCCGGACGCGTCTTGGGGGTTGCTTCTACCAGATTTCTTCGGTTCCCGCTGTCCTCCTCGGTCAGCGCGCCACGTGCGAGTCCGTGGCACGCTTTCGTGATGCACCGAAACACTGTCCGCTCAGGGAAACGAAATATTACGAATTATTATGGAAAGCGTTTTTTTTTGTCCTATCCAATCCCTTGAGATACAGTATCGGGTTAGACTCGCGTAGATCTCGAACTGGGATTGACGAAAATAAATGAGTTTCGAATGCCTCGAGTTCAAACTAGATGCTCTACTTCTGTTATCAATTATTGAACTTTCAAGTGAACGTGGCTATAGACGAACATGGAATTATCCCTCGTTTCTAGTGAATCATCAGTGACAAAGTGATCCTCGTTGCTAGAATTACGAAATCAATCATAGGTTAAG